TGAGCTTATATGTAGCCAATTCCTGCTTCCTTCTAGCCACCTGACTACAGCCTCAATTCAATTCAATTTATTAAAGATTCTGGCTGAAAGCCATGCTCCTGAAAACAATATAACGAACATGCAACCATAATATAAATTTAAGCAAAAATAACAGAAATGCTCATATAATAATAAAATAGGGCCAACCATTATAAAAGCATTATTCTACTCCTAAAATTAACATAATCAAATACAAATATGGTGATAAATCAGATCATGAATCTATAAAAATGTTGTGCATAGGTCCACAATTGACACAGTAAAAAACAAATATAATGATAAAGTTTATCAGTCATATCAACGGTAAAGGATGTTTAGCTCTGATCGCTTCAGCATGACTGCTGCCTTTGAAGATGGGCCCAGCAGTTTCTGCTTGACCTAATGATTGCTTTGATTCTCTTGCCCTTCAGTGAGCTGCGTTCTGCAAGGCCAGGTTCACTGTATCTCAGTGGGCAAGGATGGGTCTCTGAGGATTCAATACAAGTCTGTTTATAAGCTTGATTTCAGAATAGGTGGCCCAAGTATTTTTATTAAATGTAGCAAAATCTGTTAGCCCCTTTAGTTCTCAAATAACTTAGCCCCTTACAGGTTTGGCGGGGGAGGGATTTCAAGGAAATTGCAGTTAAATGGATATATGTCTTTATAGGCCCACCCTTAGATTGTACCACTTTCTAAAAGTTAGGAGTTATATATTTTTTTCTCTGCTGAGTTTCTTTTCAGTGCAGCAGTGTGTAAGGCTCTTCTAGAAGCTAACTATGACTTCCCAATTCTTTGGCAAGTTCCAGCATGTTTGAGAGCACCTTGTAGGGGCTGCTCTGACAGTCTCCAAAGGACAAAGTGAATGTGTCTACATGTTCATTAATGTGCTTTAGGTAATGTGCACTAAATTCTAGTACCTCCATTTTGAAGTGCTAGAAAAATGCACATTAGCTTATTTTAATGCACATTAACGAAAGAACACTTTTTTGTGCTGCTTTAAAATAGGCTAATGTGCATTAAAGCACACATGTAGATGCGCCCAATAGGAATATGAATGCATACCTCAAATGCCCCTCTGTTCCAAGTACATCTCCTCTTCCCATGTTGTGGGATTCCTCGGTTAAGAGAAGGCAGTCAGTCCTCCATACTGTTCTGCTTCTAAAAACTGAGACCAAAGTTATACTACATGTGCCTAGAAGAACAACATGACCAAGCCCCTAAAAAACACAATTACATTGGGAAAACCGAGCTCTTACCAGTATACTCTGCTTAATTTCTGGGTGTTTTTTTTTCTGTTGGTAGCCAGTATAACTGTATCCATATGAAGACTCTTTTTCTCCTATAGTATACTCATATTCCTATAAAGTGTTGCTTGTGTAGATCTACCTGAATTCTAAACATCCAAGGGTGTTCTGTTGATCTAGTATTATTATACTTTATGCTGCCATGTAACAGTTAAAATTGATTGATGTTTCCCAGATAACTCCAAGGTAGGGGAAGATCCAAGGTGATGTGGTAACCCCCTTGGGACTGAGAAAGCAGGGGAAGACAGATGCTCCATCCCTAGAGATGATTGAGCCATGGTTCAGTACTCTGACTCCAGCTAGTCAAGGGATGGCCAAGATGTGTGCTCAGTACAGCCTGTATATTCAGCCAAGAGAGACCCCAAAGCACAATCACAGGGGCTAGGGACAGAAATTACACATAAATCAGTATAAGTGATCGGAAACTAGTTCAAATCTGTAACACAACCAAAGTTTCATAGTTTCTAGGGTTGAAAGGGACCCGAACATATCAAGTCCGACCCCCTTCCCTCCGCAGGAACAAGCGCTGGGATCATAATACCCCAGCCAGATATCTATCCAAACTCTTCTTGAAGTCCTCCTCTTGAAGACCCCCAAGGTAGGGGAGAGCACCACCTCCCTTGGGAGCCCATTCCAGAGCCTGGCAGCCCTAACCATAAAGTAATGCCTCCTGACATCAAGCCTGAAACTGCTCTCAATCAATTTGTGGCCATTATTCCTTGTTATCCCAGGTGGTGCCCAGAGGAACAGAGCCTCACCTATTTTCTGCTGGTCCCCCCGGCAAGTTTATAGACGGCCACCAGATCACCTCTCAGTCTTCTCTTGTGGAGGTTGAATAGATTCAAGCCCTTTAATCTATCTTTGTGGGGCCTGGCCTGCTGCCCCCTGACCATGCGAGTGGCCCTCCTTTGAACCCTCTCAAGGTTAGCCACATCCCTCTTGATGTGCGGCACCCAAAACCGGACGCAGTACTCTAACTGCGGCCTGACCAACGCTGCATAGAGGGGAAGGATCACCTCCCTGGACCTGCATGTGATGCATCTGTAGATGCATGACAAGGTGCAGTTAGTCTTACTGACCGCTTCCTCGCATTGGCGGCTCATGTCCACCCTGGAGTCAACAATGACTCCAAGATCCCTTTCCGTCACTGTGTTGTTGAGAAGGGTGTTCCCCAACCTATAGGTATGTTGTAGGTTCCTTCTCCCTAGATGCAGCATCTTGCACTTGTCTGCATTGAATTCCATTCTGTTCTCATCCGCCCACCTCTGTAACCTGTCTAGATTTAGCTGGATTCTGTCCCTTCCCTCCAGTGTGCCCACTTCTACCCTCATCTTTGTGTCATCAGCGAATTTGGACAGCATGCTTCCCACGCCCCACCTCCAAGTCACTGATAAAGATGTTGAATAGCACAGGCCCGAGGACCAAGCCCTGGGGAACTCCACTGCCCACATCCCTCCAGGTTGAAAACAACCCGTCCACCACCACTCTGTGGGTGCAACCATTGAGCCAATTTGCCACCCATCTGACTGTGTAGGCATCAATGCCTCAGTTGCCTGGTTTTTTTTTATGAGAATGGAATGACAAACAGTGTCAAAGGCCTTCTTGAAGTCCAGGTGGACGACATCCAGCTCAACACCCACATCCAAGGACTTTGTGACCTGGTCATAAAAGGAAACAAGGTTAGTCAGGCAGGATCTGCCCACAGTGAACCTGTGTTGGTTGCCCCTGAGCGTTACCTACCATGCTAGGCCCCCGCAGATGTGTTCCTTCATAATTTTCTCAAAGGTCTTCCCAAGGACCAAGATGAGACTAACTGGCCTGTAGTTACCCAGGTCCTCCTTTCTCCCCTTCTTGTAAATGGGGACAATATTGTCCCTTTTCCAGTCCTCTGGGACCTAGCCAGAGCACCACAAGCACTCATACAGCTGTGCCAGGGGCCCTGCTATGACCTCCACCAATTCCCTCAGTACCCTCGAATGAAGAGCATCCGGACCTGCTGATTTATACATGTCTAACCCCTCCAAGAGTTCCCTAACTAGATTGTCCCTGACCCTAGGCCTGGCGTTGTGTCCCCTGAGCCTGTCCATAATCCTAGTGGGGGAGCTGTCTCGGTCCCTGCTCAGAAATATGGAGGCAAAGAAGTCGTTGAAGAGTTCAGCTTTTTCCTTTGCTGCAATCACCCGATTGCCAAGCCTGTCCTGTAGGAGCCCCACGTGACCTGGTGCCGCCTTCTTACTCCCTATGTATTTGAAAAAGGACCTTTTGTTATCCTTAATTCTGGTCGGCAGCCCAAGTTCCCTCTCTGCCTTGGCTTTCCTAACTGCCTCCCTGCAATCATGAGCGATGGAGATGTAATCCTCCTTGGTGATTGCCCCTTGCTTCCACGGATTGTATGCCACCTTTTTTGCCCTCAGGCCCTCCTGGATACCTTTTACTGAGCCAAGGATGCTTTTTAGCACTCTTGCCCCCTTTGGTTCACATTGGGACTGACTCCCTCTGAGCTCGGAGGATCGTCTCCTTAAGAAACAACCATCCGTCCTGGATTCCCATCTCATTGAAGCTCTGAGTCCCCAATGTCTGTCTTACTAATCTCCTGAGCTCATTGAAGTTAGCCCTCCTGAAATCAAGGACTTTTGCCTTTCTGTTTGCTTTCACCACCCTGCAGCAGACAATGGTCACTAATGCCTAGGTATTCGAGCACCTGCAGATCCCTACCAGGTCATTGCCTCTGGCAAGGACCAAGTCCAGCAAGGCATTATGTTTGGTGCACATAAACCGCTTTCAAAATTGCTGAAACTTGTTTAAGATAAACCTTAAGACCTCAGTGGTGACGCGTAGGGGATGCATGGGGTGCACATGCACCCCCTAGGAGTGCTGGTGCACCCCTTGACCAGCCACGCTCACTGCTTAGGTGATGAGCAAGGGGAGCAGGTGAGAGTGCCAGTCAGTGGGATCAGCCATGAGGGGATCCCCCTCTTCCCCCAGTCACTGACTGGTTGCTGGGGAGGCACGTGCCCCACCTGACTAAGGTGGTACCAGTTGCCCATGTCAGACCTAACTGATTTAGGTTAAATTGGTTTATTAAACATCTGTGCCAGATTCCCTTCAGATTCAAGTTAACTCTCGGTCCCCCAGAATCCCAGGATGCGTTGCATCTCCCCTGCAAACTCCCCCTCACAGAGTGGATGGGCTAGCCATGGCTCAAGCTGTCTGTTCCAGCTGAACAGGGAGGCATGCTCTAGCACCCCCCTGGCTTCTGGCCTGGGCCACTGCAAGCATGTGGCTGCATTTCCAGAATCAAAAGTGAATGTCTTTTCACTTGTTTATTATTTCCATCTATGCAGTTTAGAATAACCTGCAAAGATTTAATTGATTCAGCCTCAGGCTTTTTGACTGTCTGTACTTAGCCTAAATCATTAAACTGAAAATTTGCTTTAAAATGAATGTACAACAACAAAGAGTTATTGTAGTTCTGTAATCATGTCACTGCATTAAGCCATCACTAACCACTTTTTAACAATAGTTACTGACTCAGAGGAGCTGGGAATGTTTTACAATTTGGCTGTAAAGAGAACAGACCCTGAATTGAAATGTCCTTCTTCCTTTCTCTGGTAAAACAGAAAAGGGGGAATGGGACAAGATTTGTTTAAAATTAGTACCAATTCTTTTCTCTTTCAGGTTTCTTAGTGAGACAGACGGTAATAAACATTTGCCGAAGAAAGAGGCTGGAAAGTGATTCATACAACCCCCCACACGTCCGCCGAAAACAGAAAATAGCTGATATTGTCAATAAATACAGAAACAAGCAGCTTGAGCCAGAGTTTTATACTTCACTTTTCCTGGAGGTTGGGCTCAAGAACTGTAATCCCTAGATCAATATTCTTATCAGAACTTGGTGGCTACAGTAACAAAAATGAATAGATGAAAAAGCTAAATGCAAAAAAACCCCTCCCCTATGCCATTCGGAATAGAGGAAACCACATTCTAGCATGGAGTCAGCGGATACCATGTGAGAAGAATGAGAAACAGGCCCTTACCCTTCAGTTTTCTTAGTGAATATGTGTTCACAACACCACATCCTCAGCTGAAGAGACCAAAATTATATTGCTTTCACTATTTAAGACTTTTCCCCAGTTCTTGAGTAAGAAAAAAAATACAGCAAATGTGTAGCTCTGACAGCGTTTCACGTTCAGAGAGGAAAAAAAGACATTATGCATAGGCGCAGAAACAAACAGCTAAAAACTCATACCTCACTCTCTGCTTCTGGAGATTTGGTTCAAGAGCTAATACTGAGGCCAGTTTCATTCAAACCAGTGCAATCTAAAATGTGGTAGCTGGGTATTAAATTAACCTACCTAGCCTCAACCACTTGCACCTTTCCAGTTTTCCTGAATAGTGGAAACATCACCTCTTACCCCTATTATCTAATCTAGCCTAATAAGAGGCAGAAACAATTGATGTCTCATATCACAAAAAGCCCATAATCCAAATACAAACTTCTGTTTCTGCATGTGATAGCAGAAAATAAACACACCTAGCCTAAGACTGGAATGAAAGACACCTGAATATATCTATACTTTAAAGACAAACTAACAGCATCTCCCCTTCCAGCTTCCTATGAAGTCAGGAGCCGGTCTCCAGAACATGCAACTCCCACCAGGATTTAAGTAGAAAGTTTAAAAATTCCTCCAAAAATGAAATGTCCATAACCATTTACTTCATGTAATAGAAAGAAGTCAGGGAAAGTAGTTTAAAAACACCAGGTCATGAATTCAAAGTTGAAGTTATGATACAATAATTGTCTCTCAATAAATTTCAGAATTACTTTTGGTGTTGGAAATTATTCAGCTGTATGCAGGTTTTATTTTTTTGCCAGGCATAAACAATGCCTGAGGTAACTTGATTTTTAAGAATTTTTAAATAAATAGCTGAGTTTTCTTGAGGTCATTTATACACAAAGCTTAGCTGTTCAGGTCTGTTGCAAAATATTCTTTATTTAAATACGGTTTGATATTTTTTTTTGTAGGTGATCAATGAACTTTTTAAAACTGGCTAACCTGCCTGCTTAAGATTAAATTGAAATATCTTTCTCTATAAGAGACTGTTCAGAGTAGCATGCATGGTGGGGATGGGACTATATTTTATGTTCACAACAATAGCTTTCCTTTCGCAGATTGGGAACAGGAATTTTGGGGCTTGCCTAACAGATAATGTTTTCATGTTTAATATTGTATGGGTGTTAAGTGCTCCTCCATACTAAACCCCTTAGAGCAACATTTTTGAATGGGGGGCCACTTTAACAGAGCTTGGCTCTGAGCATGGGCTCCTTTCAACCTGACTTGTGCCACAGTCTCCACTCTCCCCTGCAATGCTCCTGCTGCCACCAGCACTTCTCCCTGCCACCCACTCAGCCCATTGGCAAAGCACCCCACCACAGAAGGCCTTCAGCTCTGTGGGCTGGATAAAGTGGCTCAATGGTTGGATCTGGCCCATGGGTCATAGGTTAACAATGACTACCCTAAAGAACACTCACCTTTTCTGTATTACCTTTTTTCATACTTGAGGCCACTTTTACATGTGCTCTGGAGAGTTGGGGAGCAGCATTTTAATTAGAGTGGCTCCAAAAGCTGCTCCAATTAAAGTGCCACCATGTCTCCTGTATCAGTGTCCCCACGCTTAAAAATGGCAGTGAAGTTGCTTGAACTAAAGCTTATTCGACACGCTTTAGTTCAAGTGCCCCCACCACCTTTTCTAAGTGCGGAGATGCTGATACACAAGACGAAGAGGCTGCTGGAGCGTGACAGTTGCAGATTAATTGAGTCTACTCCAATGTGCTGGAATTCCAGCACGTTGGAGCAGCCTCACTGCTTATGTACTCTAAATGATCACAGCTTTGACATCCTATTTATAATGATTAATAAGCGGCTACATCCTAATTCAACATGAACTATTTTGAAGACGGTGTTCTTTTGGCTTGTTTGTATTCAGCAGTAGCTTCTGATTGCAATGATCTTCCTTTCTAGTGATTAATTGGAAGTGGCCTGTTGCCTTTTACAGCAGTGTAAGCATTCTTAAGCTTTAAACTCTGTCTTCTCATTGACCAGATCATTAGTTTTGAAGAAAACATCTAAAAAAACCCATACAAATATACATTTATTTCTTTGCTAAGAGGCAGAATAGCCTGGAGTTTGTAATTAGGTTCTGGATCCTATGAACAGTGACAGCCATTTATCATAAAGTAACTATCTTCCAGTCCATTTGAGCTCCTCTACTTTAGTCACCTTTCTGGGAACCTAATTTTAAATTTGGACATGGAAATAACTAACAAATTCAAAAGACAGAAAAAGTTTCCTTTTTATATCATTATCTTGACTTATGTTCAGATACTGATGGGCTCATCAGAGGGACACACTAAGTCAGTTATTGACATGCTACATTTCACAATCCACTGCAGTACTGTTCTGAAAATCATTCAGGATCTCCCAAAACTATTTCAATCTATGTTATAATAATTATTATTTGATCCTCCAGTATAATTGACGTTTATCTAAAGACAACCTATAATAGGTTATATGAAAGTATTAGTGTAAGTAGGGGTTTGGATACCTCTCCAGTTTATTACATAATAGAATTTCAGAAACTTTTATTATGCATCACAACAAAGAAAAAAATACCTACGCCATATAACTTGCACACTTTTTTTTACAAAGAATAAAGAAAAATATGTGCTCTAAAAATCCACATGAAAAATTTTCATAATATTTCAAAGAAAAGGGGAGTTCGGTGGTGGTGCGCAGCGCTCACAGTATACTAACATACTCATCTCGTACATCCTAAGCTCTGGGTTCATACCAAAAAGAGACCCACGCAAAAAAACTGCTGCAAAATTTGGCATGCTTGCTCGTCCATATTTATATGATGCTCAGGATTATAATACCAGGGAGTGCTGCGAGTCAGAGTTGAGGTGCATTCGCAGAGCTGTGTAGGGGAGCCTTTACAGCTTGATGTACCTATTTGATCCAATCAACGTGACCAACCACATTTAGTCCACTGATTTAATGTCATGACCAATGCATGCATAATAAAAGTAAACATACAGAGCAATCAAATGTCTGCACATGAACAATAAGTTTTAAAAAACAAAACACTGGAACTATAAATAAATTTTTGAAAAATGTAAATATAAGAAGAATCATTAGTTTGCATACTAATGAACTTCAAAAGACATCATCTTTCAGTTATTGGGACATGAAGAAAAGTGTTATGTAACATCAGCACATCTGTATTGAGAAAAACCAGGAGTATTTTCTGCAATGGAAGCCAAGATAGTCGTATTACTTGCTTTCAAATAGTATTACAAAAAGATTAAATATTAAAGAGCTGTTCTACAGCAAAAAATATTTTGTTGTTTAGTTCAGGACATCTATACTGATATTTTCTATTGAAGCATGTGTGTTTTAGTATAGAGCAAGGCACCTGTGTCAAGTAATCAATTTTGAAGGTATCACAGCTTGTGTCAAAGGTCTTGGAAGAAGAAAGCTGTTACCTGTGTCACTAATGTGTTTATCACAGAGCCTTTGAAACAGACTTTATAATTTTCTGACATGTCCTTATTTTGATTTTAGAATCAGTTGTTTAACATGTTACACACAAGTGTAACAAAAAAGTGTAACCCACGCAAAAAACCTGCTGTGGCCATTAATGGTCTGAGATGTGAAAAGAATTAATTTTATGAAGCCACACTGTCTAGTTCAAAACTATTCTCATTTACACAAACTCAAAGAATGTTCTATATATTTAGGTGAATGTTGCATACAGTGATATCCCTTCTTTGCAGCTACGTGCATCAGAGAAAAATCACAGGAAATGCTGTTTATTCCCTCAGCTGTTCAGATAAGTTTGTTGACTTCTTCCAATAAAATATTAACTGTTCATAAAATGTAAACACTGAAATGATTGCTAATTTAGAGACATATTTTGGCTCTGTTGCAGTCAGTGTAATGTAACCTCAAGCATTTTCTCTGAACTACTAGGTGAAATAAGAGCAATTTACCTTGCTCATCCCCTAAAGGACCACTCTCAGATTAAAAATCCAGATTGCCTTGCAATTTGCTTCTCATGACACTTATTCAAACTTAACATTTAAAAGACCATTTTTATTACTGGTTCATGTATATGTAGCTTATCTTTAGCCTAGTGTTAGGCATGGCACCTTGCTACATTATTTAGGTTGTAACCATTACTTAGGAATATTTAAATGTAAACTTTTTTACATAGTAGAAATTTTTTAATTACGGTTCATAATTTTTTTAACTGATAGTATCCCTTTAAATGGTATAGTGTGTCAGGAAAATTTGAGAGTAACATACTGTCATCTTGTTTGCATTTCTGTATTGCAGTTGTAGCAATTTCAGTACGGTACTAAATTAAAATTACTTAAAGGGGTATTGCAAATTTACAACAAATAGTAAGTGGAAAAATGTGTGTGTTAACAATTAGATGCCTGCACAGATAGCTTCTTCTGCAGGAAAGCTATTGATGGGGAAAGAAGTTGGTTATTTGTAACTTAACATTAAATTACTGGTTTCCCAAAAGGTGGCTGTTCATTTCTCTCATACAGTGTTCTGAATGTTTAGCCCAGAAGGATAACAATTAAATTTGACTTTCAGAGACGATAAACAATTAAATGTGATTTAACTATTACACAATTTAAGAATTGACGTCTTTGAAAGAACAAATATACATTTTTCACAATGGGTTTTAACAGAAGTAGTTTTAAATGAGGTTGTCTGGTATGATGTGCTTAAAATCATGTACAATTTGTATGAATTTCCGTATGTTGCCAAGACAAGATCTTTTTGTTCTTACTGTATTTTTATGTAAATAATACTTGCGGTAAGTTGTAAAGTAAAGAAAAACTGTAAATACAAAGATGTGAACTATGTTCCGTTGTCTCTAGTACTATATTTCTTGTTTAGGGAAAGAAGACAAAGGCTTGTTTGTATTTATGCCAATTCTTTGTCCACAAGAAACACATCAAATATTGAATGTAACACAACTAGTCTAATAAATTTTAAAGAAATTCTTATCTATTAACTTTTTGTTTTTCAATTTGTGAGCATTTCAGTTTCTCTGAGCTAATGCTAATATATCTTGCATCTATTTTCTGTAAGAAATGCTACAATCAGCTTTAACTTAAATAGAGTTCCTGAAATGGGTTATTAAAAATAGTGAAACAATTTGGCATGGTTCTTTGGGTAGATGTGATATCTTTTCATAGATCAGCTAAATAGTTGGAAAAAAGTTCTTTGCAAGCTTTCAGGCACAAACACCCTTCTTCAGGCATTGGGAGACTCTGCTGCTGTTATGAGTTCTCCATGGTAGAAAAGAAGCTAAAGTTAACAAGAAGTCTGTGAAGATGCAAATGAGTGGAAGTTTGGAAGACAAAGGGTAGAGATAGGAATGGAGGTGCGGGGAAGGGAGGGAAAAGTGTGAAGGAATGCTAGTGGTCAGCTAAAGGCAGGTTACTTGGTGTGTTGAGATGTCATGCAGGTTGTAATGTGCCATAAATCCAATGGCTATATTAAGTCCATTACTTTTTTTAATCCAGTAGATTTATGAAGTGAAGTTTTGTCAGCTCATCTACAAAAGGTGTTTTGTAAGTTCCCTTGTATGTCCTTAGGCCAAGCATGGTTACAACCAACAACCATGAAACAGTCTGAGCCCTACTTCTGGTTACCATGCATAGTCCTGAATTTAAAAATTTTCCTTAAGTCAAGGATTGGGAAAGGAAAATGAAGAGCATGTCAGATGTTGACATTCAC